TACGAATGGATGATTTCAACTTCACCACTTGGAACTCTTGGTTTAATAGCTTCCTTGTGAGCAGCAACCCTCTATCAAGGAAATCATGATAGGAAATGCAAGCCCTGGTATATCGTATCAACTGGGAGATATATACTCCGTATAAAGGCGCCGCTGGAATGTTGCTACATAGAAATGGAAAGTTCACAATTGGGAAGCTGAAATCATCTCTCTTGTCGTAAAGCTTTGTTTTCAACCGACCCTCATTGTCAATTTCTAGATGCAAGTCAAGATATGAGGCAGACTTAACTGTATCTTTTGTATCCTTTATCTCAAGTTCGACGGGATAGATGCGTTCAAGATAGTCACCAAATTTTGAATTAGTTAGTGAGAAAATATCATCTATATAGCGGAAAGTAAAGTAAAAGGATACTGCTAATTTCTTTTCTTTCTTCCTAAGAAGTTCCTGTATAAAATCAGCCTCATATTTATACAGGAACAAGTCGGCAAAAAGAGGGGCACAATTAGTTCCCATGGGAATGCCGATTGTTTGTTGAAAAACACGTCCTCCAAACGTAAAAAATATGTCAATCAAGAAATCAAGCATCTTGATAATGTCAGTTTCAGAGAAGTTTTTGTTTGAATCAGACTGATTATTCACAAAGTATGATTTATCCCTCCCCAAGACAAGATACTTTTTTGTATCTACGTGGCCATTCTTTTTTATGATACAAAGTAGGACCAACTCTTTCAATTTGTCTTTTAGTTTGGAATGGGAAATACTTATGTAAAGTGTAGAAAAGTCAAATGTTTTAATACTATTGCCAGATGAAAGAGTGTTTGATTGTTTGTACTCTAAAAGATCTTTAGAATTTTTTAGTATCCACATCTGGTTCTCACTAACTAATTCAAAATTTGGTGACTATCTTCAACGCATCTATCCCGTCGAACTTGAGATAAAGGATACAACAGATAGGTAGTTTCACAATAACTTTGAAGCCCGGCTTTGATTGTTGATTAAATTGATTTTGATAATTTAGAAAGAGGTTTTGTGGAGCACTTGGAAGAACTAGCAATATACCATTATTTGTAAGGACACTTATGTAATTAAGGTATCCAATACAGTGAGGGAAGATCCAGTTCTTCATCTTTGGTTGAAATTCCAAAGGAACATAGAACAGACCTATGATTATCCAGGATTTCCTGTTTAGTAAGTGTCTTGGAAGTATATGTTGAGTTTCCAAGTGAATCACCAATACCTAATTCATTTCTCAAGCAGTTTATGTAATGTGATTTTCACTCAAAAACGATGTTGTTTAGGGTTTTATCTGCGGGGACAACAACATATTTGTCATGGAGGTAGGACAAGTGTTTTGCAACATTTGGGTCTTTAAAGATTGATGAAGCTCCTACATGTACAACAGTGGTGCTAAACCCCGAAAAATGTTAAGAAAAAAATCAGGAAACCAATACTGTTTTTATGGATTTCCCCTTTTTGAATTTGCCTTGGAGTTTGGTATTTTTGTTATACTTTTTTACACTAGTACATTAAAAGCAGTTGCAGGCTATACACAGGGTTTTGAGTGACGAAAACAATATTTTTACCATTACCATGCGATCAAAATAGAAGCACAATATTGGGAGACTTATTTGTATGTATACTAAGAAAATATAACAAAAAGTCAAATAATGCAAAATAGAAAACAAAATTTAATTATGATATGATTATCAGAACTCAACATTCGTCAGCTTCAAATTTGTAACGTGGAATATCCTACATTAGCGTGATCAATATTTAATTATGTCGACTGATTTGTATAATGGAAAGGATGTATATCTCAACAATAAAACGTATTACTGTGTAGGATGTTTATTTCATATGTTGTTATGAAAAGCAAGCTGTGAGTGATAAAGATAATCATATTTTATATCATAATCAGTTATTTTATTCCAGCCATCCTGTTCCTAATAGAAAACTGTGTCTTGATGTCCTCTGTTCATTCCACGTAATTATCTTGCACTGATTGAACATTTTTTTCTATCGTTCGTGGGTTTAAATCTTCAACTTATTATAAGTTTATGTCTGTGCATCGTTGTAATCGGAATGGTTAGACATATTTTATTGACTTTTCGCAACCTTACATCACTTATCCTTGAGGCACAACAAATAACAAAAAATAAATAATGAAGATTTGGCGCTATTTGGCCACAACTTTATCTATCTATATAGATATATATTTTACTAATATGCCTTATCTGGTAACAATAGGTTGCCTGAGGATCCCTCGTAATCACTAGCTATCATAATTGTTCACTTAATATATAAATGTTAAATCAAGCGCAGATACATCTGCAAAATGCCGAAACTTTAAGTGCACATGCACTGACAAGTTGTCTTCAGACATATTAGCTCGGCATGTAGTTATGATTCATCTGAATATCATTTACCGTGTACTATTAACAGAATTCAAGCTTAAATATAAAACTTAAACCAGTATCATTTCCTTAACATTAATATATTCAATACATTGGGTTTGTAGTGATAAATTTCTCTGCTAATTTTGCGCCTTACTGTCTAATTTAAAAAAAGACCCCAGTGAGGCTGCAATTTAACTTATTACTATAAATGCAAATTATCCAACACTAAACTACCAACTACCAAAAAAATCAAACTCGAGTTTGTACCTGACGAATAATTGTCTTTAAAATTGGAGATTTTAAATGCTTTTATTTCTGAAGCACAAAAAGTAATAAAGTTAATAAATAATTAAGGTTTGGGAGGATTTGGCTACAGCTTTATCTTTTAATAACATGTTATTGCCTGGTCGATATAATTGTCCTTGAACAATATGCCATAAACCCTGTAATTGATTCATATACCTTCAAGGCCGGATTCTTTTTTGATATAAACTCAGAAAGTATTTTCAGTTTTGTTTTTGAGGAGAGGTTTGTACCAACGTAAGCACTGTGTCGATTTCTTGACCTTAAAATGTAATACATGTGGTAGGACCTACTGTTTTATTCACGGCCAGTGCCACACCTGGCCGACTACATGCTTCATTGAAAATTTCTATCAATATTGTACTTTTTTTTGTGGAACTGTCCCCAGCAAAAAAAAAAACAAATTAGCAAATTAGAGGTCTTAAGACTCAATGCAAAAAAGAAGCAAACTTTTCTAAGTCGACACACGCTACTGGACAGCCTTCCGATTAAAAAAAATACAAAGGAGATAAAATCAGCTTAGTGTACCAAAACACAATTCGAAAAGCTTGGCTAGTGTCCATTTTAGCGCAAAGGATATTTTTTTCCTAAATTCAGATACCATCCTGATCACCTTATATCAAACAAAGAATTTTTTCACTTTGCTATTTTCTGGGTTAATACAATCATTGATGCTCCAAATCGGAGGATATGACAGGTGAATTATGAGGCGCCAACCCGTCATTTTTAGCAAAGTCCCTAATTTGCGATATTCTTAAAGCTGAAATTAGCATTTTTATCATCCTACCACGTTTAACTTCTTTCTTTAACTTCAAATGGGTTTCATTTTTGTAAACCTCTGCCAAAATGACATTGTTTGCAAAACTTGAGAAACATGGGCCATTACAGTTTAATCTAAACCACTCTGAATATCCTGATAATAACATTGCTGCATTAGTTTAGGAAATCTGAATCTGGTGTTATTTTGCATTTGTCTTGGTGTAAAGGGTAGAAAATTTGATATTTTTTGTTGTGCTGATATGAACCTATGAACAATCCCATGTTACTGAGGACTATTAGTACTACTTGTGGTTTATCCACTATTTGCACAGGTTATTACAGGATGTACACCACTGTATCTCAAACAAATATGCTTACGCATACAATCTTTTGGCGTGCACATCTAAATATAGTTAAATGCATAACATTTGTGATCATTGACATGCTTTTGCATATAAAAAAAATTCATATTTTTTTTCTATGACGGTCTAGTAAAAAACGGGCTGCTATGCTGTTCTAAGTCTTAATTTCAAACTTAATGCTGCATGCCGTTTGACATCTTATCTTACAGTTTGAATAATACTATATTTCAGCAAATTTTGAAATGAAAATATTTGTTACGAACAATACTTATGTAAATTTTAAATGCATTTGTCCACATTCCTATTATGTAAAGTTTAGTATCATGTTGCTTCAAGGCACTGTTTAGATAAGTATGGACCAATTCAGAAGAACGGGCTTCCAGTCTCTGTTCAGATAAAATAGGTATTGATTCAGAAATGGTGTTGCGTTATGGAAACGCTACAAAATGTTAATTTCTGTTATCTTTTTGACGTATTATTAGTGTATAACAGACAAACTTGTATAATCATTATTTCTTTTTTAATTCGACCTCTTAAGATACTTTTTTAAAACAATTTTAAGAAGCTGAACGTAACGTGTTCCCTAGAAATTACATACAATTCATTTAGATAGTGTGAAGATTTTTTTTAGGAACATACTACTTCTATTCTTTCAAATTAATGGCTTAAAATTTGATTTTCAAGATATTTCATTCATGCATAAACAGCCTTTGATGTTTCAATTGTTCTCAAGGTTGTCATTTCAGATAACTAAAAAAAAAATGCACAAAATTCATATGAAACATGTAACTTTGTAATAATTCATTGACTTTTCGATCGTGATCGTTCGGGTGAAAGAGGCATACGAAAAATACAACAAAGAAAGTGATTTTTTTAATTTACTTGTAATTATCTATTTCAAATTTGTAATCACAACATGTTGTCGCTGTTTTGTTATGAATGTTCACTATAGGAATTCGATCTTACAAATTATTCGTTTCATCCTTTTGAAAGAACGGAGAAATTTTTCTTAGGGCAAAGTGTCAAACTATTTCAAACACGCCCATTTCTTTTCGTAAAATCTTGCTTAGACAATTATACCCAATCAGTTGAAGTTGTAACAAGGATTCAATCCCTTTTTTCCCCTTTAAAAAACTGACTATAAAAAGTCAAAACTGCATCGGTAGAGTCTTTGTGTCAGCGTGCATCAATAAAAGCAACATGCTTTTACGGTGGAATCTGCTCATTTGGCTAGTTGTTCTGTATACAGGTATAATATTTAATGTATATAGCATTTGTAACCTAATTTTCATGAAATTCAACTTAATGTTTTGTTGATGAATAGTTTTTTTTTCGGAACTCGCAGCATATTGATTATAAAATCACAAGAATTATAAGAATCGTAAGACATCGATGAAAAAGATGAAATACATTTGTTAGCCTTGCACACGACCATTATTAAAATCACAATTGAGTAGAATAGAACATATTTGTTTATATACATGTTAGTCTTTGCTTCACTGAACCAACTTGTGAATGAAAGCGTTCAAATGCTTTATTTTTCTTTGGAAAGTCATTTTAATAATTGATCAAATTAGATATCAATAAAATTTACTTATAAAATAGTATGCATGTTAACAATCTCTGTAGTAGTCAATATCATTGTATGATTGGAATAAGGAATTATGTTGGCATTTTTTATACAGAATAAAATAATGATGAATCTCAAAATCCCCATAGGCCTTCTATGGATTGCAGTGGATCAAATTTCAATTCAATTCTTGCAATCACGAGAAAAATAGAAAAAAAAACTGAAGTCTTATGCAATTAATGTCGAAAAAAGTCTTTTAAGAATGAACACCGAAACTGTTAAGATACTAATTAATTCTTAGTTGTCTGCGTTGTTCTGCGTTATTTCACAGTGTTATTTTTACAACTAGCACGAGATATATTGAGGGTCCTACAACGGGTACATGATCTTCAATGTGTATTATTTATAATCTTTCAAATATTCAAAGTTTGAATAAGTTTTACTGCATTTTAATACTTCAAGTATGGTTGTAATGAAAAAAACCATGAATAGTCAAAGGAGTAGGTTCAGTAAGACCCCTTTTTGGCCCCAAAATATAGCAGTTTTACAAAATTGTTAATATGTAAACTTTTAGCTATTCATTGGAAAGTAGAATACTTCTGTTACATACATATGAGCTGTTTTTGATAATACAATGCATATTTATCGGGTACTAGCATCATTCAGTCATGCTAAATTACTGAAATCTTCATAATTTTAGCATTTGAGTTAATTTTTAGATGGTTTCCGTCTTAAATGGACGTGGCCGCATTTGTGTTCATTCTTAATATTTAAATGTAAGTTGTATTGGATGATAATACATAACATATATAAAGGTTGAGGATGAACACGGATGCGGCCACTTTCATTTTTGACAAAAACCATCTAAAAAGTGACATATTATGGCATATTTGATAGATTTATAACATTTAAGCTTGAATATGAGCGTTTTTAATGACTAAATCACATAAATAAATTTATTCTACTAAAGTAGACACTTAAGTGTTTAAAAAGTGTCCAAAATCTTTCATCAGATGAACCTGAAATTTGGGGCCAAAATCGGCCCTTACCGGACCTACTCCTTTAAGTAAAAACAAATATGCGTATGATTGCTCTGTTATAGAGTCATGTTGACTTAATAAACTACACATTAACTTGTATCTCTGTTTCATGAACATAATGTTTAATTCATGGATTGATATTGAAAAACAGATACACTAACCGACAAAAAGGAGTTAAGTCCAAATTAAAATGTTAGGAGACGATCCTTCAGTTAAGATTAGGAGCAGGAGAATATTGAAAAGAGTTGAGCATAAAAATGAAAATACAAATATATGCAGCATTCTCTCAAATGGTCATCCTCAAATCAAAATATTCAGTTTAAGTGTAAATATATCACATAACCTCCTTCATTTTAAATAAAGGATTATTTTTTAAAAGTTTTAGGTGGCAATAATAAATTTCATCTAACTTTAAACATTCAACTAATGCTATTCTGTGTAACTAAAAGGAAAACACAAGTTATTCTTTGCACGAGAGAAATGAAACTGAACCCCACAAAAAAAACCAACACTTTAAGCCAACCCAGTCGAAAAGTATCAGGCGAAAGACATGGTGTTTGTATGACATCTGACCTATTTAATATCCGACTCGATTGTTGTCATCTGTCATATTCTAACTGTATACCAGCAGTTATATCTACAACGAAACTCATTAAAACTTAAGAGCCGCGATAACACAGAACATCAACGTTTCCACTCAAACGACCGGATCATCTGGTTCATCTGATACCTAAACGATATTTCCAGGAGTTAAATTATGTTTGCATGATATTTGAATGAGCAAGCTAATCTGATTGCTACATTGGAATCTTCAGAGCTACTTAATTTTTTGTGCGAATACTTATTTAGTCTAAAGGAGGTAAATGATTTTTTTTAATTTCTTTTTCAATTTCTTTTCTGATATTTTTTTTTTTACTTTTCTTTTGCTATCTTTTATTTTATACTTCATATTTGTTAGTTTTGCTATCAATGTGCCGCCCTAAAGTTAAAAATTAAAATAGAAATGACAACCATAAGAACTTCAAAAAAGTAACCCGTATTTTGATAATAGTACAGAACCATTTACCTCTAACTTGTTTATCACCACATATTAATTTTTTTTATAAAATACTGAACTTCACGTCAGTAAAGAAGGTTCAATCAAGTCTTCAATATTAATCAAAACACAAGGTTTACTCTTCGAGTTATTTGTTTTAATTAAGACCTTGATGAACCGATGGCGACCCCGTATATTTAAAATCAACGTTACGATTTGACATAACGGATGAACGTTTACCTGACCCAGCTAATGGATGGACACAAGAGGTCAATGGATGTTCATATATATAAACAGTTATCAGTTTGATAATACTGTATGGTGAGTATAATTGACACAACATCAATCAAAACATGTCACCCATTATCATTTTTTTATACTTTAATCTCTAATTTTCAGTAACATCACCCCTTTTCACCGATGCCAAGAAATTGCGTAAAAAGGACCGCCGGGGTGAGTATATATATTTATAATATTTCATTTTTAAAAATTCGTCTACTGTAAATAGAATGATAAATGCATAAACAATTTAATGCCTAAATATATAAACAAATTAATTTGAAACGGAAAAAAATCTAAATAAACTCGATGTTTAAACAAGACAATCATTATTATGATGTGTACAAAACAATCAACGAAAACGGTGGTGTTACAGCACAACACAATACAAGAACAAACTGTAAAATCAGTTTGAAATAGTTTTACGCATCAGATTAAGACAAAATACAAAAAAAAAAACAATTAACAAAAATGCAAATGATATAAAGTACAATTGTACTTGCATTTACTGAAAGCTAGTTCAACCTGATTACATGTACAACTAAAATACATCATGTTGTAAAATTAAATAATCAATCAGTGCAAATCAAACGGATTTAGTGTAATGATGCTATAAATAGTGAGAGAAAAAAAAAACAGAACTTGTGTAATGCCCAAATATAAGTACATTGTATCGACAGGATACATTTTTTCTTATAAATAATAATAATTTGATAACCTACATTGAAAATACCACAAATACCAGATGTTACTCATCTGGCCCAGTTGGCAAGGTGGGTTATTGCCATCACCAGGCATCTGATATTTTTCGCTGTTATTGTAAACAAGACGGTCTAAGCGAAACATTGAAAATAAACTTAAAACTAATTGAAACCTATAACAGATAAAAGCAGAAACTGTACACAGAAAAAAAAATCTTTAAGATTTACAAAAAGCAATCGTTCATGAATCATCAAATGACTTTGAAACTATTACGCTTAGTTGATATACCGGAATGTATCTGTAAAGTTTTACTTTCACATTGAGACGTCGTTGATAAGTTTTTATCAGTGTGATCTGTTCTAATCATGTCACGAGATCGTGATGGAGGGTAATAAAGATGAACTTAAGGGAAGTAGGATGATAAAAGTTATTGTCCTTATCAACATGTGTCCGATTCTTTTGTGTATTTCACAAAACAAATCATTTTTATATATAGCTCTCCTTTCACTTATCAACGTATTGAATGCGTAGCTTTGAGAGCATTCAGTATGTTAATGAATAGACGTGGCTATGTATGATTTATAATATGACTGGGCGATGACACATATCAAAGGTTAAATGCTAACGAAGGAAACTTAACCGTGTTTCATGTCAATAAAATATTGGCGCGCTTACTACATTATTCAGGAGGATTTGTATTTTAGATACATGTACATGTAAATGAATTGTTGCCGTGTGATTTACATTGGGGTTCACAGACCGATAGTGATTTGTGTGTTATTGATAAGTGTTCGATCCCCAAAAATATCTGAGGGGGGAGATTCAAAATCTTATTCGAAGTACTGTTATTCCAGATTGCAAAGTCCGAAGAGGAGGTGTAGTGTCAGAGAATTTAAACGTTGTGATAAGAAAGAAACACTTTAAACCAATTTTGCAGGTTCTCTCCCTTTCCCATTAACAGGGAAAACATCGATTAATTACATGGTTGTTGATTGCGCCAGGTCCCGGGACAAATATTTGAATACATGACTATGCTCAATGTACGGAAAAATACCTTTGTGAAACGGAGGAAATGACTGAACATTCAGTGACATAATTTTTTTGTGAATATTAATACTGACCCGATAAGAACAGGCATCCATCCAAAATGCCTGTTTCTCATTTAAATGCACTGGGCGGGGACGCTTTGATTGGGGAAAAAAGAGGACATTTTCTCCCATAAATTCACTAAAACCAATTTAGACCACGTTTATTTCTTCTGGTAGCTTCTCTCGGGCTTACGTTTTAATTCAGGGTTATTATTTAGATTTAGAAGTTTATCTAGTGTTATGGTAGTACATGTGTTTTGGTCCGTTTGGATTATATATGCGTTCTATCTAAATTAACGGGGAAATTTTATATAAAAACAAGATGTGGTATGATTGCCAATGAGACAACTCTCTACAAGAGACCAAATGACACAGAAATTAACAACTATAGGTCATCGTACGGCCTTCAACAATGACCAAAGCCCATACCACATAGTCAGCTATATAAGGCCCCGAAATGACAAATGTAAAACAATTTAAAGGAGAAAACTAACGGCCTAATTTATGTACAAAATAATGAACGAAAGACAAATATGTTATACAGCAACAAAAGACAACCACTGAATTACAGGCGCCTGACTTGGGACAGGCACATACAGAATGTGGTGGGGTTAAACTAGTTTGAAGGCGCCAACCCTCCCCTAACCTGGGATAGTGGTGTACAGTACAACATAAGACCAAATTATAAAAATCAGTTGAAAAAGGCTTAACTCATCAGATGGATACATATAGAAATACATCTAACAAAAACACAGAGTGAATGGGTACTTATACATCCCCACAACAAAAAGACACTCAGTACATATCTGACAGTACTCGCAGTTACTGACAGCTAGTTCAAAGCCAATAACAACAAGAAAAAAAGCCATGCATCTAAAACTAAAATATCAGTCAGAACACATCCAACATCTAATGGATTTAGTGTAGAGACGACATAAACAACCAGAGAAAAACATGACCTTGTGAAATGCCAAGATACAGGTATCGACAGATTGTAGAGCCATGTATGTACATATGTATATAAAATTATATCTAGTTTGATTTTAATTTACTGATAACAAAATCAATATCAATACCAATAAAAACAATATTCAAAGATCTAATTACAGTGTTGAACTGGTAATCTTTAAGAATAAGTTTATTTAAAGGATCGATAAGTTTACCCGGATCGTTTCTAAATTTCCAGGCTGTAAACAACATCTCCGTAAAAATGAAGATGTGCTATCCCGTTTGAAATAAGTTTTCTACAAGTACAACCAAACTTCAAAACCAAATCTTTATATTTATGGAAGAATTTAGTGAAGGTTTTAAGTAATTTGTGAGAACGAAATCCCTGACATAATCATGTTAATAATTTACCTTTTTTTTTTCTTTATCACGATTGTCTTTTAGATTATATCTTATCATTCAATTACTTCAAACATAGAATAATATACGATATCTGTTATTTAAACAAAAACGAAGAAAGGAGTAGTTCTTAATGAGCATTTTTCTTCCTTTTATTTCAATGATTTTTTTACTGTGGTACTAAGCCATCCCAAAGCAAACAAAAAGGATAAAGAATCAAATTTCTAGGATTCTCTAATGAAATTTCCTCAAAAACGAATTTTTCGGATGATATAAAATTTGTGTTTCAATTTCATTTTTTAGGACTGACACCATATTCACATATTCAGTTCTCTTTTCTGATAAATAAAAGCATTCATAAATCACAAAGCAAACAATTGTTATAATATGATTAAGTATATTATGTTCAACATCTTCAATTTTGTATCCTATTACAAGATTTTTAAGACAAAAAACAATGTTGACCAATATTAAAATACATAAATATTTTTGTGTAATAATGTCCAATAGTTTTTAACACATTTGCATTCAAAGAAGAATTGGTTGTAGTTATCACACATCTAACCGTTTTCGCTATTAACTACTTTCCAACGTTACAGATGATGGTTGATTTCTTAAATGTTATGCAATAGTTTCCATCTAAACATATTCAATCTATTATCTTTTAAAAAATGAAAAGTAAAATAATTAACATTTTCACAGGATGGTAGAGGTAGATATTATGAAAATAATTGTGCAAATCGTGATACAAGCATGAACTTTGGTATAAAGGTTGACTAAATCTTAATTTAAAAAAACCAGCTGCTGGCTATAAAATGTTTTCATTTTTTCAAGATGGCCACCGCTCATGTTGCAAATGGCGTCATTTCAAATTGGCTACATTTCGTGACTCTTTTGAAAGCTGCGTTGTAGGTATAATCCAATGTAAGTTTTGATAAAAAGTAAATTAAAGTTCCTATAGTACGATGAGACAATACATTAATGAAGTAAAAAAGTGACTTCCGGTTCTAAAATGGCGGCAAAAACGTTGAAAATGTCAATTTTTATCATTTCCATCAACTTAACAAGATATATCACTTACCTTGTTCAGTTCAAATACCTACTTTGGTTAGAAAGACAGGTTGCTTTATCTAATAATTATCTAACTGACAGTTGCATGTACACAAACCCGTACAAGGAAGACCAGAACGGTAGCATTTACAGTTACCAACACAGCTGGATTTCTTGCATCCGCATTTCAAAGTTCCTGACATGAGGATGCAACGGCAGGCAAAGAAGTACATTTTGGTTTCCAACTGTTATTGTCTTTGTTTTTTATCCAACCCCAGTGTTCAGGACTTGGTACCTGTTGAATGCATAAATCCGTTTGAGCCCAAACATGTCCGCCTTGATATGCAGTTCTTTTGGTGTGTTCCAGAAGAGCACCTCTGGTAGGCGGAATAGCATCATACATGTAAGGCCGCTGCTTCCTGGCAAACAATTCAAATCGTGCCTCGCTAACAGCAAATGTTGCTGTTGTTCTGTCATACATGATGCAAACAAATGCTTCCATGATGTTCATGTCTGTGTCTTCAATAGAGTTTGTTCTCAAAAACCAAAAACCAAAAACGACCGTTACATCTGGAAATACTTCCCATGTCTGCCAAGCTTCAATTTCCCATGAAATGTCGACACAGGGTCACATCCACTGATTGCATGGAAGAAAGGAAGAGCAGCTACACGAGGATCTAACGCATTTGATATGTCATGTAATGGAAGCCATCGAAAGTCTGTATACCTTCCAAAACCTATCCACAATTTGTCCACACCTAATCTTTCGAATGCTGCAATTCCTAATACTACTACTCCGTGTCAGTACTACTTACAATTACTTTTTTACAACTATTTTCAGCAGCATGCTTAACATGGACAAACATTCGTGTATCTGCTTCTTCCTGGTTACAAGGGGATAGGTGGGAAGTATCCGTATTGAAATTGCAAAGAACATTTTCACCTTTTATCAGTCTCTAAAGAAGCAATTCTGTCGGCAAGAAACTT